AAAAAAAAAAAAAAAAGATCATTTAGAACATATTCCGAAATTACTACACACTGTGTAATCAAAGAGAAATTACGTATTGTTTCATACCTTCGGTGTATAATGAAGCAGCACCTTACTGGGGAGATCCGCTACTTCAGCCTCTTGAGACTTCCATGGAGTTAAACAGTTTGGACCTATTAAAAAAAATATAAAAATTATATAGTTATAATATATATATTTAAAAGTACATAGGATATTAATGTTGATCTTCACAAATTTTATGCTACTGTACTTTGTTGAAACAGCAAATAGGACACTCTGAACCATACCTACGAGACACACTTTGAAGTAATCTCTACGACTCATATCATTCATTCCATAGGGACTGCTTAAAAAGAAATACATTCTTGATAAAAAGCTAAACTATATAAAGAAGGTTTTTTAATACAGTCAAACAGCAGCAATGTTTCTGTCTTTACAAACATCTGTCTTATGTTTGCCATCAGTCTTTCCATCATCAAGCCCAAATGTCCAGGAAATGCATAATCTTCAAGACAGTTTTGTTTTGTAACACAAACGATTTCCTTTCAATGATGGAAGTGGTTTTTTGCTAATCTCTAATAACCTCAAGTCATTGTGAAACTTAATACCTTTAGACCTTGAACTGTAAGACATAGCTTATCAGATTTTTTTTTTTTAAATGATCCCTTAATTGATTCTTTTGGAAAAACACTCAAGCATAAAACACCTTGAAGCGGCCTATCAAAATGAGGGCAATACTTTAAATTAGTCTCAACTATAAACTCACACATAAGCAAACAGTAGCAAAAATTAAGAACTTACAAGTGAAAATACTAACTAATGTTTTAATTTTGGCAGTTCTGTCATATGATAAATAGACAGGCTTATGCAAACATTTTAAATAAAACTTCATAAAATACTTGTAATTCCATTTTAAGCTTATTTGTTACAAGGTCCTCTCACTTATGTCTGCTCTGCAGTTCTTTTGGATTGTAACTTATTCCTTACGCATCTGTGTAGAGACATTCATACTTTTACTCCACTAAAATCAATACAATCAACACTTACCTGCTAAATATAATGCCTTCACCTGAGGAGGTTGCAGTGCTTCATGAAAGATGATAACTGACCCAAGCTGGCCCTCCAAAGATGTTGGACATCCCCATTCACTGTCCTGAGTACCTGCTGAGATCATCTTGGTGATGAGCTCTGGTTTTCCAGGTATCCCACCCCAACTTCCTGTAGAGAGGATGCCCCCAAGTGATGTCCGATGGGGCATAATAGGGGAGGAAAAAGGCGGATCTGGTATCTGAGATGGAGGAGGAGTTGTTGTTCTTTGTCCAGCTGAACCAATGCAGCAAGAAGTAAAAGACTGGAGAGTCACACATAGAAGAAAGAAAACAAAAAACAAACTGTAAATCTAATCTCCTTTTTCACATTTTACAAAGTAAATCTGAAGACTATCTCCAGCAAACCCGAACTAAACAAATTAAACCATGAGCAACAAGTTCTGGAGTGCCCTGGAAAAGAAGCAGTCCAGCACAGAAGGCCAAGAAAAAAAATAAATAAAAAGGCAGGCATATAGTTTTCACAACAGCAGAGTGCACCTTATCTCCAATAAAGAGCAATTTGATAACCACAACTGTTGCGTGACCTCTGGCAGAAGCAAAGCCAGGAAGTCAGATACCCTGGTAAACATTACCCTTCTGGATTATATTCCAAAACACTAGCCCAGCATATCTGCTACTGTACATTTCTCATATCAAGTATTCCACTCAAATAGATGCTCTGATGGGAAGCCTACCCGCCCTGTTTTTAGCTACCTTGATTTTAAAATGTTTATTCAGAGTTTTGTTCCAGAGTCTTGCAATGGAAACCACATTTACTCTCATTTAAGTGTTATACTGATTTTACTATGACTGCGTCTAATTTAAGTGTTTGCTCAATACATTCAACAAATATCAAATTAGGACTTACAAAAGAAGGAAGAATGTTCAGTATTGTAGCCCAGTTTAAATTAGATTTGTTCCACGGAAAGAATGGGCAATGCTTACAAAGAAAACTAAACATGACATATACTCATTTTGATGGCTACTGTGGTTTTTTTAGGTTAAACGTACACACATTCTAAACAGTTAGATTAACTATGTGTGAACAGCTTACCCAGCTAACAAAGCAGGTATAAGATTAGCATATTAAAGAAACACACAGAAAATACAAGTCAAAAAGTTACAACAGGGAATATCCCTCACTGAGTACTGTCACACCAATCCTACCAGCAGAGTGTGATTTATTATGATTTTCTCATCACAAATTATGTCAGCATATTCAGGTAATTATGTTGAGGAAAATTCCACAATCTAACCAAAGTAATCTGCTTTTTTTTGTTTTGTTTTGATTTGAAACTGAGATGACTAAACAAGTCCTAAATAACGGTTAGTTATACTCCAAGTCGATACTCTGGACACTGCCCAAAGTTGAACAGAAGCTTATTAACAATACACTAAGCTGTTTTAAACTCCTACACAACTTCCAAATTAAAAGCACCAACCATGTTCTCATTGTTCTACAAATGCGCATCAGGACAGGGTTATGACTCAGAAGGTGAACTTACTTCATTCATGGCAGGGAATCGAAGTGGGGCAGAGACCTTCTGCTGTCCATTCACATAGATGTACACAAGGCTTTGACCAAAGGGCCTCTTTCCAGGCATGTGAACAATAGTTATGTTGTGCTGATTAAGCAATATAAAATAATTAAGTCAATATTAAAAAGCAATGAAATGACTGTACAGAAATATTTAACTTCATCTCTATTAATCCTTAAGCGGTGAGGAAATCACTTAAGAAAATAAATCCAAAGCATCAACAAGAAGATAAGACCACCTATCAGCTGCTTCCATTTTTAAGTACTTCACATATAAATAGGTTTTTGAAGGAAAAGAGATACACCTCTTTCATGATAATGCACATCAGTCCTTAAGTATGGGAACAGAAAAGGGTAAGGCAGAAACAGAAGCACATTTTATTTATTCACATAACACCAGTCACCTATGCTTGTTATAATTTAACATAAAAAAATCTTCATGTTAAAAAAAAATCTCTAAGCACAATGCCATAACTAGCTTATCAATAACAAATGCCTAATAACATAGGCATCGTTTAGCTCAGTCAACCACTAATCTACATGGAAACTGCTTGCATTATTTGAGATTAGATCTGTTCTTATGCAAAGAATTATTTAAATATTATAAAATAGACCACTTGCAAAACAACAAAAAAAAATTGAACTTTGACTTCTGAGCTAACAGTTCTATCCTAAACAAAGTGTTTTTCAGTATCAAATCTTACCCAGAGAGAGTCAAAAAAACAATGGTCAGGCAGCATTACTGTTGCATATTCCCTCTTCGTGCAAACTGCAACCACCAATACCCCCGAGCATGTAATAAATGCTTCAAAACCCATACCACTTCCTGTAAAAAAGCTACAGAAAAAGACAACAAAGCACACAATCAAGGACTTCATCAAAACTACTGGAAATACCTAACATTACATTCATTAAGGAGAGAATCAACTGCAGTAATTTGTCACTGGTCCAATATTTACTATTTGATTAGCTATTACTCTTGTCCCCCAAAAAATAAGCCATAAAACTGCCTGAAGGAAGCACAAAGAAGAACTTCTTCCCAGTAAGGGTAACAGAACACTGAAACAGGCTGCCCAGAGAGGTTGTGGAGTCTCCTTCTCTGGAGATGTTCAAAACCCACCTGGATGCGTTCTTGTGTGATCTGATCTAGGTGGTCCTGCTCCAGCAAGGGGATTGGACTAGATGATCCTTTGAGGTCCCTTCCAATCCCTAACATTCTGTGATTCTGTGAAGCCAAGGTACAGGACATGCAGGCCAACAGGTGATCCAGAAAGGATCCTAGAACCATTTAGGCTGGAAAGGACCTTTAAGATCAAGTCTAACTGTTAACCTAACACTGCCAAGCCCAGCACTAAACCACAGGTCCCTAAGCACCACATCTACACATCTTGTAAATACCTTCAGGGATGGTGACTCAACCACTTCCCTGGGCAGCCTGTTCCAATGCTTGACAATCCTTTTGGTGAAGAAATTTTTCCTAATATCCAATCTAAACCTCCCCTGGTACAACTTTAAGCCGTTTCTTCTTGTCCTATCGCTTGTTACTTGGGAGAAGAGATCGACACCCACCCAAGAGAGCGATAAGGTCTCCCCCGAGCCTCCTTTTCTCCAGACTAAACAACTTCAGTTTCCTCAGCTGCTCCTCATAAGACTTGTGCTCTAGACTCTTCATCAGTTTTGTTGCCATTCTTTGGACACGCTCCAGAACCTCAATATCTTTCTTGTAGTGAGGGGTCCAAAACTGCAGACAGTATTCCATGGTGCAGCCTCAGCACTGCCGAGTACAGGGGGACAATAACTTCCCTAGTCCTGCCGGCCATATTATTTCTCATACAAGCCAGGATAATACTGGTCATCTTGGCTAACTGGGCGCACTGCTGGCTCACATTCAGCCGGCTATCGACCAACCCCCTCAGGTCCTTTTCCACCAGGCAGCTTTCCAGCCACTCTCCCCAAGCCTGTAGCATTGCATGGGGTTGTTGTGACCCAAGTGCAGGACCCAGCACTTAGCGATGTTGAACCGCATACAGTCGGCCTCGTCCCATTGATCCAGTCTATCCAGATCCCTATGTAAAGCCCTCCTACACAAGCTCTCAAAGCTGCCTGTAGCCATCGATCTTCTACATGAAAACACAACCTTGGTCTCAACAAGTAACGGCTTCAGTTTGACCAACACAGCTTAAGCTGGTTCTGTTAAAGTCCTGCCCGCTGTAGTCTCTGGAAGCTACAATACTGAAATAAAGAGACTGGCCTGCAACCTGTGCTGTTTTCTACCAATTAAATTGTGCCCATCAGCCCCTAGTAAAGCTGTCAATATTGCATGCAGATTCGTGACATTACAGCTACAGTTAGCAGATATGTTTTCTCCATTTCCCTTGTTTCACATCATAGTATTGTATACAGAGATTTTATTTATTTTAAAGAACAAAACAGCACATGGAATAACTCTTCTAGAAAATGCAGAAAGTTCCATCTCTAATTCTATAGACAAATCTGCATTAAAACTGTTTGATGAGATAATAAGTCTTTTTTATCTGTGATTTTCTATCAGTAAGAATCTTACCTTAGTGCAAAATGTAAATGTAGTCATTGTTATATATCTTATTTCACTCATACACTAAAGAAAATCAGCTGCAAGCAGCTATCTATAAATAAGCCCTGCAAGCATAGATTTGCTTTGGGAAACTTTCATTTTTTAAGTACTTGAATACAAAAAATTATACATAAATTGTGAACTGTTATCAAAACCTGCTACACATCCTAAGGCACTATCATTCCAAGTGGATGCATTAACTACTGTACTATCAAATACCTGCATCTATCAATATAAAACACAAATAAACACACAGAGAGCACGAATATTATAGACAATCTCAATAGATGTAAGCTGTCTTACCATTAAATTCTGTAAAACATAGCAGCTAGATAAATTTTTAATTATTTTAATTCAGTTGTGCACTTAATATTTCAAGCTGAAGCTGGAACTTTAAACATTTCCTCTTTTTGTATTAATTTCAACACCCCAGTTTTAGCTTCCCAAAACTGGAGTAATGTCTTCAAAATTGTATGTAAAAATGATAGAAAACCAGTCAGTTATTGGTACAACAGCACCAAACTGAAATCCAATTGCAGCTTTTTTACTTTGTAGTGCAATTCCACCCAGTTTTCTAAAACTGCAGTCTACTTTAAAGATCTTTAGTGGGACTGTCGCAGTTCATCAGGTAGTACCCTTCGTCAGGGCTGTGCTGTACAAACACACAGGGCAGCTACAGAAATCCAAGGGTCTCCACCTGCCATCATGGTTACTAATAAACAGAAGTAACAGTCTAAGACACAGGGGCTTGGAAAATACTAATGCTGCTACAATTGCATTCTTCATGTTTCCCCTGAAAGTGCAGTGCAGTAAAATGGACTGGAGTGAGAGATTCGTCAACTAGCATTTCCCTCATTCTGCGTTTTGTTTGCTGCTGAATGTTAGCACCCAGAAAGTCAGATTATATCAAGAACCATCCATGTCAATGCCTACTATTTCAGCGAATGAAGATGTCCTTTTCTTCGTGCTCTCATATAGAAAACATTTCATTACCTTCACAGGAAACAGTGGGAAGGCTGTTCTGGTTTGGGGTGAGTTTTTTTTTCAGTTGGGGTTTTTTTGGTTGGTTTGTTTGTTTCAGCTATGAACCTTAATTAACACAATTTGCAGTTATGGATATTGAAACTGTAGACAAGAAAGCATTATAATTGAGAAACTACATGCTTATTTCTGTAACACAGCCTGACTCCGGCGACAGATGAAACTGCTCCCTTCCATAGACTAAGCACTATACACTGCGTTCTGTGAAGACAGGCACAAGTGCCATATGTCATAGGGTACCATATGCCGCAGGGAACAGATGACCTAGATTTGTGCTGTCGAAGTAGTTATAACAACTATACCTATAGAGTTGCTTCCTCTTGCCACTTTTGCTAGTTGTGCTAGGGTCCACCCGGTCCTGGTCAAGGCAGAGCCAAGCGCTGAAAGAAAACGCAGAGCCTGGCCACTTATGAATTGATGGAACAGCAATTCCGGCCATGCTGTGGTACAAGTTGAAATACTGCAAGGCACTAGACATGCCCTGCTTCCGGGCCATTGTTAGAATGGCTCGCATCACTGGAACAACGTAAGGGTGAGCTTGTTTTGGTTCCTCAGTCCTCAGGAGCCGTATTAGTTGAAGCAGTTCTTCTGAGCCCATTGACTGGCTGCCCAAAGAGCCCAGAAGCGCGATCAGGTTCTCTGCACAAGTACAATGGAGCGCGGAGTGGGAATTTAGTGTCTCAATGATACAGATGACCATGTTCGCATTGACACACGTGGCACGACTCTGTCTGTTAATACAGCAGATTCGCCTCAACCAATTTGAGATGAAAATCTGCAGGTCATGTGATTCTAGTTCTGGAAGCCACTGGATAAGCAGCAATAAAGGCTGGACATTACTAATGCCTAGTATCCCAACAGCCATGTGGTCACCTTCAACGGCCTGAAAAACAGCAGAGAACTCAGACATGAAATACAATAAATTAGGGCCATAAGTACTGTTGAAAAGATGCAAGCATTTTAACATTCAAAGTAAGCACATCTCACCATATTCATGAGTTCTTCCAGCAACTCCCGTGAGGGTTGACCCAGTGATTTTAGTACCTCGTATATGTGTGCATAACCAATTCTCTCCTTGAAGACCTCCTGAGGATAAAAATCCCAGTCTCACTAACAAATAAAATGGATAAAAATTGCCCATCTACTGCAGTAGGTTCTAATTTAACGTAGTATTAGACACAAAATAATTAGAATGCAAGAATAATGTTTTACAGGCTAGAAATCCACCCGTTGTGCTATCTCTAGCATGCTGCACATGAAGAGGATCTCACTGCAGCATGCAGATAAACAAATAAAAGATCAAAGTTCTATTTTAATAATTACTTATACAAAAATATAATTGCTTTGGTATAATCAAAATGTTAATTCTATCACTAAATACTAATAGCTTCATTTTTAATGCAAACTATAGCATGAAATAAAGTGATTACAATGCGATTAGAAGTATTCAGACATTAATTTGAGTGAAATATTTTCCTGGATCAGCTTGATTAAAAGCCACCCATCCTAAACAGTTTGAAAATGAGAGAAGTGTTCCAAGGAAGTTTTTATGAAAACTAATGGATTTTACATGAAGAAAAACAATAATCAAGTAGCAAAATCCAAACTGTAAGATCACTTATGGTTTAGTTAGTAAACATCCAACACATCATACGGAATGTACACTCTTCTCCCAGCTGCGCTGAAACTGAAACTTTTTTTTTTAAAAAAAAGGATGAAACTGTCAGCAGACGTGAGATGATTGTTTTAGCAAATATGAAAAGAAAAAATACATTTGTCCCAGTGGAAGCACAATTGAAAACTGTACTGACCCTTTGTGAATCACAGCCAGTCCCCACCTCCAACATACAACTCTTGCCAGGCTTTCCAGAGTCAGTGGAGAAATAAGCACTTTGAGCAATGCTCTGGAGGAGCATAACTGACCCTGTCATTTCTCACTCAGACTGTATTGCAAGAAGCAATCAAATCATGTGACTCCCACTCTGCCTTTAGCCTCCACTGTGCAGCCACATCCCTTTCCCTGTGCCAAGGCTAGGGAATCATTCAATCACAGTGTGAATCTAGTGACCTCAGCAATCTAAGAATAAATGCACTATTTTTGTGTGGATTCAGCTTCCAGTCAGATTCACAAACTAACCATAACCTATGCATTTATGAAACCACAAGTATGACTATAAAAGAAAGGCAGGGGAACAGCACGTCCACCATTGGGACAGAAATATCATCCTGGGTTACTTTAAAGCCATGATAAAACTACAACACAAACTCCTGTCTGAAAATTCCTGTGAATACTCATTAATTCTACCTCACATATTCATGGGACAAGTAACGATGTGCCTCTTTTTACAAAGGTTCCAGCTGTTATCAACACTCTGATCTTCCAGTTTTGATAGAAAGATGGCTTAGTGTCTAACCATTAGACACCTATAAAGAGATAAGGCATGCTAATCAGCTATTCCTATCCGGCAGAAATGTGTGACCACAATCTACTCACCTTCATTAGCAAGATTCACCATGATACTGTGCTAGAAACACTAACTGGAAACAAGATCAAGAAGCCTACTGCAAACAGATCTCTGCATATATACTGTTACCTTAGCAGCTGGAGACTTGTGCATTACTGCTGTGAGGGCTTGAATGGTTGATACTGCCAAGCAGTCTAGGTGTCCCTGAAACACCTGAAAGTAGCAGGTACACAAGTTATATACAAATGTGTAAAACAGTTCAGCTCCACAACCTATACTGTGCCCTCCTGCCAGGAGGGAAACAAGGAGTTTGCTAACATGCTTCAAAAATCACCTCCTCACCAGTCAAGATTTCATAACCCCACGGCCTACAACGAATTACGTAACAGTAGACAACTAGCCACATACTTCAAGAGGAGAGGAGCATTCACAACACACATTGCACTTCAAATATTCTCATGGACAAACAGGTCTTCCTCATGCGGCTAATGGACAACCTCAAGAGGGAGGGAGGAAAACAAATTAAGAAACCTCTTGCAGCATGTGTGTGTGCGCTGCTGGACATTCAGGCACCTGCAGTTCATGTAAAGTGTTTTCTTTTCCATCCAAGTCCCCACACGCCAATGCAACACACAAATTATAAGAGATAAATCACATCAGCACAGTATAGGTGGCTGCCTCACCCATAGCCTTGTCGCATTGATCAACATCTCTTTTTCCAATTTAAGTTATCTTTTAAGGTTTTTTTTTTTCGGTAGTTCCTGTCTACTTTGATATTTCTATGGTGGTTTTAAGTGCAAAAACGTTGGAGTACTATTTTGCATCCATCAGTAAACCTAATTAACAAAACTGTGCAAACATACTCTCTTTCATCATCTCCAAAATTTTATATGCACATTGGACATATTTTGAAAATGAAATGTCGAGAATCAGAAGAAAGTGTTATATGTGAAGAAACATTTACATGCGGTTAGTGTCGCACTGAGTTTCTAAAAAAGCCAAAGCTATTAGTTAGAATCACAATTTGTAGATTACCATACCTTGTATTTAGCATTTCTTTACATTTTTAATCAAAATTAATCATTCTACCATAAGATTAATAAAATAACAATGCATTTGAAACTTTCGACAATATTTTGGGAAAATTAAAGCAACAGGCTATTCCTACCTCCCTGATTCAGCCTGTCCATTGTTTTGTGAACATCTGTTCTTGATGACAAGCAAAGAATCAGGACATCAAATACAACCATTGAGATTCACAAACAAGGCCCCAGAATCCAAAACACCACAGTGCTGAGACAAAGAAGCAAAAAAGAGGAAAGAGAAAGGGGGGAAAAAAAAAAATCACCACCAGGTTGATAGAATTTATTTGGATTCCATTCATGTACTTCACCTTTTCCTCAAAAGAAGCATAACTGAGGCTCAATCTATTTCAAATATCTGCAATTTGAAGCAGATGAATAAAACTGAGGTCAAATTCAATCTGTTATTCAGAAAAACTACATTCCAGAGACAGGAAATACTGATGTGTGCAGCAACACAAGTTCATCTTGCTGCAGAAGGCTTAAAGAGGACGGTTAAGGTGAAGCACAGGAAGCAATTTTCCTGTGATTGTGTCTTGACTTCAACTGAAGCGAAATACAGGTTAGGTAGGTACCTGGTCCTCATTCATTTCTGTCAGTAATTTGTTGGCAAGGTCTTTCTCACTCTTGTCTGCCACTTTATTGTTAGCATTTAAAAACAGCTGTTAGAAACAGAGACAAGAATAATGGCAATAATTGCATTAAACAGTTACCTGCAGCCAAATCTGTGAAGGCTGCCTTGGATTTGTATTTCATATTTAAAAAAAAAAAAAAGAAATTAAAAAATGAGTTCTCACACTGGTGAGACACAATCCTCCATTAATATTAGTCTTCTGTTAATTCTTACAATACTTAAGATTACATTGTATTTTTGCTAATTAGTAATCATTTTTTCCCACCAGAATTAAATTAAAATACATAATCACTGAGAGAAGGAAACAGATCCTATCTGGAACTTATACTGGTCATCAGCTTAGCCACTGTGACTTCATTTACAATATGCAACATGACAGGACGGTCTCAAAAATTTACTTGTAAAAAGTAAAGACAACAGTGGGGCATTAGTAAAGAAACAGATACAGATGTTTAATCATTTTCCACTTATGTTTCATAGTAGATGAATGCTGAAAGTACCTAGACAGAATATTTTAATCTTCAAACAGCAGCAGAATTTCTGGGGTACATAGTCTTTAAGACAGGAAGAAAGTTAAAATATCTCTGCTATCATCCTAAGAATCAGACGGGTTGAAAATAGCTATATACCAAACATACGCCTATACTGCATCTTCAGCTAAGAAATTGCTCTGTTTAAAGTTTAAATTGCAAGGTTAAAGCTCATCCAAATACTTTCATAATTGATCACAGTTACTTTTGTGTGCAAAGTTTAGCTGTAACCTACCAAGGACTAAAATTTATCTTATTCTATTTTTAGATTATATTGAGATGTTAAAAAAATCCCTGATCAAAATGTTTTAAATATCCCTTAAAAAAAAAAAGGAACAACATTTTCCTTTAGTGGGGAAAAACTAAGCATTTGTAATTTTTTTTCCCCTCATACATTTTGTTCAATTATCTACTAGGTAGTCTATCTGAAGAGGAACAACCTGAGAATTCAAATTCCACGAATTAGGGTAAACAGAAGAACAACACTCAAGATATTACTTTGACTTTCAACGGTGTGAAAGCACATAGTTAGAAAGGTACATCAGGGTCAAGAGCACTTAACACTGCAGAATAACTATAATATGCCTCAGAGGGTTATAACATTAACAAGTGGAAATAAGAACATTAAACAGAACCAAATACAGACATGCAAAAAAAAAAAAAAAAATCAACAAATTTTTCATGTGGATACTTCAATTCTGATAATATATGTAAAATGAAAAAACACATTTTTATTACAATGTCCATATGGTTTTAATTCTTCTATTTAAAAGCTGTTGAGAAAATAATTATTTTTTTTAACCAGGCATACAGCTAGAGGTCGTTGTGCTTTGCTCAAAGTCTGACCTCTAAGGGAGTTTAATAGATGAGAAAAAGATTCAGGACTGACAAAGCAGCTTGTTAAATGACTCTCAGTATAGCATAAGCACCTCTCGACACCTCTAGAGTACAGTCCCTCCTTTCACATGCCACAGGCAAAAAGCAACATTCAGATCATCAAAACTTAAATGAGCAGTTTTGAAAAGTTTTTGTGCAGATCTCTAACCCTAGAGCACAGTTAAGGGAAGACAGTTTGCCCATAAGCCTTAAAACCAGCAAATATCAAAAAAAAAGAATCAATTCTAGAAGATTGTTGAACTGTAAATGACTAGGAAGTATGACTAGATGTATGGCCTTGAACGCCCCAAGTTCTTTGTGGTATCCATAGCAGAAACAATGGTATGGATTTTCTTTACTCCTCCTCTCCGTGGAAATTTCTTGCCTTTCAAATTTGCTGAAGATTCAGTAACTTCCTGAGTTTCAGATATACGTATGGACTTTCCTGCTATCTGCAGAACCATCCTTTGCACAGCGTGCTGGTGAATCCAGTACCAAGGTTTTCACAGGTAAAGAAGAAAGACGTAGAAACAGGGTTCTCCACCCCCAGTTAATGAGGAGAAATCCTAATTCCCCGGTTAAATTAATCTTTGCTATTTGGCTTTGAAAAAGAATGGAGATACAGTGTATTGAAAAATACCAATATACAACACCTTCCCAGCCTCCACCTTTTCTCCACTTTTCATCCTCAGGTGTATTTTGACCGTGAAAGGTTAAAAATAGCCCACTATGTAGCAAACTGGCAACACTGATATCAAATCAATTACAGTAAAATATGAGGGAAAAACCCCTCAAAAGAGAGTATCTTATGACATATATACAAGCAGAATTAAAACAAAAGGAGTAAGCTGCAAAAATAGAGTAGCTGTTCCTGCTTTTTTAAATTCCATCATTTGTTTATACGAGGGCAGGAACATAGCTAGAGTCTCCATAAACAGGTAAACATCACAGTACTTGATGATTTAAGAAGCAGCTAAAAAAGAAATTTGTTACAGAGTACAAGGTCAGTACAAAGATAGGCACAGATTCCCAAACAGAGGAGGAGAATGGAAAGGTCAAACAATGTATTTTTAGGAGGAGACAAAAAACTAGAAACGCTATTCCAAACACTTCAAGTCAGTTGGCATTCTGCCACTGATTATAACTATGGTTAAGACATAATCTGAATACATTTATTTTTAATATATCACTGCACTGATATATGTTTTATCCCAAAATCTATATGTATTTGAATCAAATTGCATACTGTACCTAGCATTAAACTACTCAGCATTAGAAGAGCTCAAAACAGCTATGTCACCAACGTATCACAAAAAAAAATATATTCCAGAGTTATATCATATCTATGTTCTTTTGCATAGGGAAAAAATGAAATCTACAAAGCAATCAGTGGAAGACACTAGCATGCAAATTATGACCATCTGAGATTGAGATGAAAACACAACATCTAGGAAAACACCAAATCCTATGTAGGAGGAGTAGAACAATCGAAGGACATTTGTAACAGCTTGAGCTCATGTTTTATGTCAGCTGTACAAGACTCAAATATTTTTAAACACTTAGAAAGGCACACCAGCAAGGTTTTTTAAAGTGGAAAAACATGACTCTGAATTAGATTTCAAACCTCCATCTGGCAGCAGTTTTAAGTGGCTTCCTAGCAATTCAGTGACAGAATATAAGAAAGAAAAAAAAACAAAACAAAACCACACCACAAAGAACACACATCACCAAAAAAAAAAACCCACACAAAAAGTATGGGGAAGATTGATTCTAGTAACAACCTTAGCAGATTTTAGAGACTGAGTGGGGTCTGTAAAGGTGGTTTGCTCAGGACTCAGAATAAGCATTCATTGCTTTAACCAAAAGACAGACATGAAACACCTCTACTTCATTAGGAATAAAAAAAAGATTTTAGAGCAACCTGGATCTTTCAGATCTTTTATGGCATTAATGGCTCCAACCAACCCAAAGTTTTACTTCCAGTATGTAGACACTATAAAATTGCATCTAATTCAGAAGGTATAAAGGTAATTAATACACCTGCAACATTACAGGACAAGTTTTGTTAAAAATACGCTGAAAAGGAAAAATTTACCTTGCAGTTCTGCAACAGTCGAATGAGATGCTCAAAGCAGTTACTGTTAAGGAAAATTGCCTGCAGAACAGGCCTGTCTGTGCAGTCTAACATAGCTGTGATGGTATCTATAAAATTAAAACAGAACTGGCATCAAAGACAAAACACTTCCCAAATCGTCAAGCATTTTTTCTGCACATTATATAATAAACATAGGGAAAAAATTATACGACAAACTACATGCTGTGAATTCTTTGATCAAGAATGATGTGTGTTTTAAGCACAGAGCACTAGGCCGAAAGCTAAACTTTTTGATGCTGTAAAAATTACCATGTAACCTACTACATCTGGAGAAAAATTCAACTACCGAGTATCTTTGATTGCTTTGGGGCTGTTTAAAGACATTGTAATTTGTGAGTACACAAGCAGCATGCCTTTATATAAAAGGACACAAACACTTGCTTCCTCATCAAGCAATTACTCTGCATTCTACAGCAGCTTTATATAGTAAGCATTCTTCATTGTCTCATTGTTATTCCTCAGTTTTCTTGGAAGTCTGGGAAAAGGAATACCTTCATTTGTATTTCCCATTCTGAACATCACAGTGGAAAAAACTCCAAATACTGAATTCTTACCCAATGACTTAAATCCAACTCTTTCAGACCATCACCTTTGGCCAATGTTTACAATAATGCTGTTTGAAAAGTGAACTACCACAAAACAGCCACAACATGGGTATTTTATTACAGACTCCTCCTATTCTGCAATTATTAAGGTGCTGATGAGCATCAGCTGTTGCCTAGCACAAGTGTTTTGTTTTGTTTTTAAAGGAGACCAGCAGTCTGTAAATCTTGACACTATGGTTAAATGGTAGCAATCCTATATGGTTTCTTCTGGTTTTGTTTTTTTTTTTTGTAGTGAATGATTAAACAATGCATCTAAAGTATTGTCAATGAAGAAACGTTTGAAATTTTTCAATTGCTTAGCCAATTGAACATTTTTTGGTAGAACATTCAGTTATATTACTATCATGGTTCAAACATGACTTGTTTCGGAGTTATTATCAACAGACATGTAAAAGAACTGCACAGTTGAGTACTCACTCAGCATCTGGATCTGTAGTGCTATGAACCTGCTCTCCCACTGCCTGCATCGCCTTGGATTAGGTAAAGCTGAATGGTCTGAATTAAGCAACTTGAAATAGTTCTCCAATATTGTACTTGTCTCCACTTGCCGCTGGTCAGAACTGCTGGTTAGAAGGATATGGACAACTTCTGTCAGGCACTTCAGAGTCAGCTCTGCCTTCCTGCTCACTTCCTCAGGGTTCCTGTCATCCCAGTTTTCACAGTCTGCTAAAACACGCATCAAGACTTCCATGGTGGCAGGAGACACTGCTTGAAGAGCATTCCTCTGAAACACATGCAAGAAAAAAGTGATTAAGGAAAAATAAACAAACAAATAAATAGAATCAAATCTCTACAAACTAGAAATTTTCGAGTTATCTGAATCATGCAACATGCATTATTATGCCTGTTAATGCCCTGTAATTGTTAAATAAATATGAAACATTCTACTCGGGAAGCATTTCATCTGTAGCCATTAATATAATCCATCTTGTTCACTTAACTAGGCTTTATTTTTCAAAGAGAATGCTTATAGGGAAAAGGAAATATAATTTAAATGTATGTTATAAAATTCTTATAAAGCTAGCCTTGACAAGCTGCTAATCCTAAGTAAACCTTCACTTGAATTTTCATTTTAGATCATGAGATTCATGATACTTTCAAATTTTTGAAAAGTACATAAAAATTAGCAAACGTTTCTCTGGGCCCTGAGTGCATTTCCCTCACCTCCCTTCCTGAGGGTTTGACTGCACAGGCTCAAGGCCACCTTAAATCCAGCAGGAGCCCAGCCTCATAGAGAGCCTCAAGAAGTCTTGTCAGGGACTCCCTGTCTTCTCCTCCTTCACCTTTTGCCAATGAGGTCAACTGCCCTTCCTGCCTGGTCATCGTGCTCAGTCTCAGCTTGCTTTCTCCGGCAGAGCAGTGCCTGGCTTTGCTGCTCCCTGACAACATTTAGAAATGCTCTCTCTTCTAGATCATCAGAAGTAACATCTGCTTGTGACTAGACTAAGTAGCACATTACAGAAGTCAGCCAAGACAGTGGATGTTTGCTTTGCTGATGATAAGCATCCTCTTTTTTTCCACATTTTTTCAAACATTTTAAACAGATTCCAAGCTATAAAGGCCCTGTGCCTCTTACAGAAACAGCTTACTTCCAACATCAGGAATTAAGCTAGATGAATTTCATGCGTTGAAACAAAACTTACATTTTTTCATGTGGAAACTCCTAATTACCCACATTTTTTTTTTTATGATATGAAAATACTACAGTAAATTCACATGAATGTGGAGTTATTGTAGAGAGCAAATTTCTACTGTTATCCAAAAGCAGGACCTAGCTTTTTGCATTGAGATGCTATTGCACAGAATAACCCCAAACTTGTTAAGACCAACAAACAATTCACAGTCAATAATAAATTATTCTCATTTACGAGTTATGGTGTATTTATAAGCCTTAAACAATGAACAGGCATTCGGAGGCTTCAGCAGCTGAAAAGAGTTTAGAACATCCTTACCTGACCACCAGCCACAATAGCTCCAAAGAGATGTAGCAGGCAACATTTTAGGCTTTCCTTGAGATGTTCACTTTCTTGAAAACATTCTGATTGGAGTAAATAAGAAGGAAAAGGATTCCTTAATTTGGTCATACAAATTATACCAAGTTTCTCCTCTCAAAAAAACCCCAGCAACAAATGAAATAATAAAAAAAGCTCCTCTACTCCCTGCCATCATGTAAACTTTAAAAAATTTTCCAGCTATCTAATCTCCACTTTCTTTTACATAAATCAGACACAAATATATCAATTCCAGCATTATCAAAGTAAAATGGCAAAACCACATTGATTAAGAATTCACAGGGCCAGACCTTCGAGGAGGAATGGGAGAGGAGAGAACCTGCAGATGACATTACAGTAGCAACCTTTATAGTGGGTTTCCAATGCTCTGGCACAAAGATAACGGCATTTTACTGGCATCACCTCTTTGGTCTTTTTGGCAACTAGACTATTTTACATACACAGAGAGGGAACCTCAAGGGACAGGAGGAGTACATGACTCAAACTTAGCAAAACCAAATCCATAAATGTTACCACTCTCGGAATAGAACCTTTCTTTTTTATTTTCAATTAAAGCTGAGTTGACAGCTGCAAAAAGGACTGTTTCACT